TCAGATAGATTTTTTTTAGACTTTTTTTAAAGTCCTTGCATGTGACTTTTAGTCCAAGATCAAGCAATTTATAAAGCTTTTGGGTTGGGTTCTTTTATTTAGAGTGTAAGAAAAGTTTAGGGCATTCTCACGCAATTCTAAGTTATGCATTTAGATTTTTATTACATGGCTAGATAAATCTTAGATAAAGTTTTTCAACAAGTGCTAAAACAAGATTTTAGGAATTGGCAGCTACAAGATCTTTATATTTTTTTATTCAAATATGTGTTTGTTAGTTTTAGTGAGTCTTTTGAGTGTATTTAAGTGAGATTTTTAGGTGTAGTTTTTTACAAAGATTTTATACATGTTTTTAGAGTTTGGTTTCATGATTTTTAGAGTAGTGTACAAAAATTTAAGGGTCCTTTTTAAAAACTTTTTGTTGGTTTATGCTTATAAGGAATTTTTAAAAGTTTGAAAGATTTTCTTTATATATTTATCTCTTGTATCATCTTATAGTTTATTTTAGTGCCCTAGAGTATATATAGCTATTTGATGTCTCATATTTAATCATCTCTTTTTGATTAAAAAACTTTTACTTGAATGGAGAACAATATCTAATATATAGTGAGTGTATAAGAGACTATAAAGTGTTATAAAGAGTGATTTTAAAATCCTTGAGTGTCTAGCAAGAATAAAACCTTGTGATTGAGCTCTCCAACCTCTAGACTAACATCATAGTATATACTTAGCTTTCACATTTGGCACATTTTAGAAGTTTAATGTCTATTCATATGCATTGTTCAAGTGTTGTTACTATATAAACTCCTCTTAGGACACACATAGAGGAATTCTCAAGGCTTATATGCTACCTTAACTACTAGACAATGTTGTTGGTAAATGAGTCTTTATCATTTATAATAGATTCCAAGGAGGAGCACAATTAAAACATTACACCAATGGTGGTAATTATTCATATTCTTTATGGAGCAATGGATCTTCTAAAGTTCTATCTTGGATTAAGTATTTTGGCTTGCAATCACATTAATCAATTTCAAACTTACTTAAGATACAGCAAGATCATTGAAGATGCTTTGTCCCAAGAATTATTCTTGAGATCCTTGAAAACAAGAGTGGTATATTAGACATCTTTCTTGTTTCCAAATGAATCTTGTCTACAATGATTGACAAGTTCGTCAAACAATTTAGAATGGAGAAAATTGATTAACAACTCTACATATAAATTGTTTTAATTTTGGCAAATGCTGCAAAAGAAACACCTCAGCAATGATTCAAAGCTTGTTTTAAGCTTTGACACCTTTCTAGGCTTTTTGGAGGCCTCTCCCAAGGTCCTTAACAGTCATATGAAGTAGTCAAATGAGACACATATATCAAATGTAGATATATGTATATCACTACATACAAGGTGGCAATAGTGGCAAATTCATTCCTACAGTAACTCAATTTTCCCTTCTAGCACTTAAAGGTGATACTAACCCACTGAAACCACAAGATCCAGCTGAAGCATCACTCAACACAATTGTGGCCTCTTTCACAGATATCACTATAAAAGCTCTCAACCTCATGACACGAACAGAGTTCACTCGAGGCTATAGCAATCCACCTTAATGCATTAAAATGACATCCAACTTTAGAGGGTGACATAGCCAGCTTCACTAGCATCTTTGGGCCTCCTTCAAAACACTTTTTGCCCACCTTAGTATATTATAGCACAATGATATTAAACAGCTTTTAGCATCACTACCAACTTTTCTAATATTGAGTTCTTTTCTCTTTTCTTTATTTCTTTACTTTCACTCTTTGATAAATGGATTGTCCATCTCATTTTGCATAGCAAGGAATTGTAATGGATATATCCAAAATGGATTCCCTTCTAACTCGATTTCTACTTGCCTTTCAAGACTTATATCCTTGCAGTGGCAAACTCAAGCTTGGATTTCAATCTTGAGGTGGCATCAATTTCAATCATCTGGAAGGTCATTCTTTCCCTCCTATAGTTTTTAGACTCTTCTTTACATCAAATTAATCCACACCTCATCACCATCACTCTAGTCTACTCATAGCCACTATTTAGTCCATTTTCCATTTGCTACAGCTTTATCCATCACTTGCTATATTTGTCTAAATCACTTATCTTACCATAAACACCTCCATTTTGGGACATTTTTACATAACATTATCTACTATACTCATATGTAGTAGATACAATAAGAAGCAACCCTCCTGACCCATGTAACTCAAGGTATGGAATGAACTTAATCGATAAAACACACTCTTGGCAAATACTAGACACTAAAAGTTAATTTTGACTAGCCAAAAGTCCTTAACTGTAGTACGAAGCTAAACATAGGCAAACAGTATTTCCTAAACTCATATAGATACAATAAGATACAATGATCTAAAATTGCCACTAGTTGCAAACATTTTCTTTTGCAATGATTGCTATATAAGCTACTAATGATCATCCACATATTGCAAGATTCCTTCCATTACCAGTCTATTCAAGTTTGCTAACCATTCCACCCATCATTTGTCACTATGATTGCAATCTTTCTGTTCCACCATATATCCCAAACTAAGCAACACATTCATTTCTCTTCCACTTTCTTTGGAACTTTGGTAGCAAACTTAAATTGTGTTTGAGGAACTTTTGAGAGGTTTGGAGACTTTAGAGGCTAGAGTCTAGGTTATTGCTTTGTTTCCTCTTGGATTCTTACTCCTTTTTCTGTGTTTTTCTTAATTATTCATTATTTTTTCTTCTTTCCACAATTTTTCTTAGGTTGAGTTCTTAGTTCTATAATCAAAATTTCCCTATGTGGTTTCTTGATCCTAGAACACTAAAACTTCTTTTCCCACTTTTATTTTCTTTGTTTTATCTTTGGTTTTCTTTCTTATATAGTTGATAGAAGATATTACATTAGAGCTTTCAACAGCAATTTAGTTGTGAGTTTTTGCATGTGATAGAGTCTGATATGATTCCCTGTGGTCACCTATTAGGATATGCATATCCTTTAAACAAGATTCTCTAAAATATTCCACTATTAAAATTGTCTGAGGGCATTAAAAAAATTTTGGGAGAGGGGGTATATACCCCTTTCTCCCCCATTACTAAGTTTAGAGGAAGTTCATTTAAAGATATGGTTGAGCTTTATTTTCAAAGCATGAGAAAGTGTTCTCTCCACCGTTGAAAGGTCTCAACAATGATACAAATAGTCTTGAACTATTAGTAAAATGATGAGAATAGACATTATATTAGTATATGTAGCGCACGTGGTTTTGACCTTTTATCCTATGGTGATTTACCATAGGATAACACCACGAAGCGGAACCTAAACCCTCTTTGTGCCACGTGACAGATGCCACGTGTCACATGCCACGTGTCCATGCCACGTGTCCACAGGAACCCGAGGTTCAGGGCCTTGGGCCACTGAACGAAGGAACGGTGCCAAACTCCCAAGCGTGACACCAAGGAGTGATGGAACCGGACCACGGAGCAACTCCCGAGCATATAGCCCAAGGAACAAAGGGACAGAGGCCCGGAGCGACTTGGAACAGTCCTAGAGCAACTAACATCCCAATGCCAGGACCAGCACGCAAAACGGAGCCAAACGGAGTCTGGCGCTATTTCGGCATACCGGTGGCCTAACGTGAGAGTATGGGTACTCCACCAGCTAGCATGGTATGGAACTTGGGCTTAGACCCAAGCCGGACGCAGAACAAGGACAGGCACGCAAGCGGGAGCTAGACTATGCCTCAGGTTGGTCGGCCATGCTCGACCTACCCACTATCCCTACTATACATTTGGAACCCCCCATAGCCCCCCCCCTTGAGGAACACACGCTTTGGGCTTTCACCCCAAGCCTCCCTTAGTATTAGGAGTTAGTCTCTGGGACAAGCTCGAAACTTACTAAATATGGAATGTCCCTAGATTGCGAATTTGGACATGGGACAAACACCATTGTGTTCAGGACGATCTCTACATTCCGTAGATATGCCAAATGAGCAAATCTGGACACTTTCCATAAATAACATTTGGGACCAAAATGAGACTAACACAAAAGGCATGATAGCGAGGGTGTTTGGCAGACACGGTAAGCTATCATCTAGCGAATATTGAGGGACCAAGCTCAATATCGCGGGGGTTCCCAACACTAGCAAGTGCAAGTCAACGAATGAGTTTCTTTAACCAGGTCAAGTATGCTTGACTAATAGCACTTAGGAATTCCGTCCTTATGCCCATCTGGTCAAGTGCACACGCGAGGACCAGTTTCTCAACTAGCTTAGGCAGAGACTAATAACGGGTCCAGCAATACCGACCTCCTGCCGTCGTGGCAGTAAGGTAAGAGTGTCCGTAAGGACTGGCCGACAGGTAACTTTCGATACCCAAAGTCACATTCGCGACACTCTCCCCCCCTTGGGAAAATCGACGTCCTCGTCGATGCATACTCGAGTCTAGAATACTGCCAAGGAAACAACTCCAGAAAAAGTTCACGGTACTCACACTATATGAGAAATGCACCAACTTAAATGAGTTAAGGGGCAACCTCTTTGTCTAACGCGGATGCGCTACCAGCTCAGACACCTTCCGGCCGTCGCCGACAAGGAAATGACCAACGGAGTCAGCCACCCTTGCTGCTCTGGGAGTCACCCAGCTTACAAAAGTGTGATATGCCCTGCCCGCAGGGACATAGAGAGAGAAGCCAGAGGCC